CCCCAAAACCCCAAAACCCCAAAACCCCAAAACCCCAAAACCCCAAATAAATTATAGCAAATTGAATCATAATAAAAATTTCGTTTGGTACAGAGACAAAATATTTTAATTTATCAGTGATACAAAGTGAATGTTTTTTAACATGCTTTGCTTCACAAACATTATTACAACTTAAAATATTGAACAACTCCATCAAGTGCTCTGCTCTTGATGCTCAATTCTCGATTGGCTTTCTTCATATTGACCAGAATAAATTCAAATTCCTTTTGCATCAGATGAAGCTCGGACTTCTACTCTTACCATCTCAAAAGGATACTTCCAGGCTAAAGCTTGAAAGATAGATGCTTCTAGTTGGGACACAAATAATAGTGAATTTATCCCACTTGAAAGATGAGAGTTTCATATAAATTTGAATATTGCTTCTAATCTTTCGGGATGCTCATGCCAATTGCTCAAAGATTCACTGCAGCAGTTCTCAAATCTTAAATAATCAATTGAAGATTTATTATGACTTAAAATTTCTATTTCACTCGTTTCCATGAATCATTCTTCAAACTTGAGGAAGGCAATAACTCTGATATTGCTAAATAGCATACTCATTTGTTTATTAGAAAACTTGAAATGAGATAAGGATATTACTCCAGTCAACTGAGGTATAAACCTCACAAGAGAAGGCATCAAAATCTTCGGGCTATATAAAGTGCCTCCTTCTTCAGCTTTTAATACTAAGCTTTCAATCACAGTTGGCCTTCATGTTTCAAGAAACTTAACGACAGACCTGATTTTGAAAGCCATAATATTTTTAAACTTAAGACATGTGCTTATAGGATGAGGATATTTGTTTATCTTAAAGAGGAAATAATTAGTCACATCCAATTCAGTCTTCTTAGGAACCCTACCATAATATTTTCTATCTCTGATAAACATTGTGTGCAGTTCAACAGTTCCATCTGAAGCATGTGAAGATCTGAACCGGAAGCTGTGAAACATCCAGTAGTCTAGGTTCTTCTCTTCTTCAACTAAGCATTGCTCAGATTGGCTTCCAGCACTATTCATATTAATTCAATATTTTTATTGTTGTGCGGGGTTTTGGGGTTTTGGGGTTTTGGGG